GCCAAAAACACCCTCTTGCGCTCATTGCCCATCCCTAAAAAAGTCACCCAAAACCCACACTTGGATGTTTGGATACCACACAGACGCGCTGTTTTATCTGGTGTCGTCACACATCAGCAACGGATTTTATCTGCACAATCGCACCGTCGACATATGCCTCCCGTCCCCAGCCGTTGGTTTCCGGCTCAAAACTGCTTTAACCTGGAGTATTTTGTTACCAGGTCCCAAAGTGGTGTTTTCTCCGCTCTCCCGTTTAAAGCCGCTTTCCCCCCCCTGTGTAATCGCTCCTCCGGTGTCAAGCCACTTCCGGTGGTTTAAACCCCCTCCCCGCTCGAAAGCTGCTCGAGGCTTCTGCTTTTCGCCTGCCGTTGTTTTTGTTTTTTTTTAGCGTCGGCGGTGCGGACATAGGCGAAGCTCGGCCACCACGTTTAGAAAACCGACATTTAAACGGTCACTTTTTAGCATTTAGATGAGTTTGGGATCTCACGGAGGCCATTTTCGGGTCAAACCATTAAAGGGAAGTCTTGTTGGAGGGGTTGGATTGATTCGCCCTGGTGGTTCTGCGCATGCGCCATGATAGCCCCTCCCCCCATTCTAAGGAGGGGTGCCTATAAAAAGGTAAAGGTTCCCTTGCTCGAAAGCCAGTCGAATCCGACTCTAGGGTTGCGGTGCTCATCTCCGTTTCAAAGCCGAAGAGCCAGCGCTGTCCGAAGACGTTTCCGTGGTCATGTGGCCGGCATGACTAAACACCAAGGCGCACGGAACGCTGTTACCTTCCCACCGAAGCGGTACCTATTTATCTACTTGCAATTACTTGCTTTCGAACTGCCTATGCACATGCGCAAACTGAGAAAAAAAATTAAAATCTGCCGACGCACGCTCCTGCACATTAGTAGTGTAGACGCCGGGGAGTGATGTGACTGCGCGGTGAGGCGGGATAAGGAAGGTAAGTGTGATCGCCATTATCCAGATCAAATATAATCCAGTTAGAACCGGAGCAGTTTAACCCGCTCTCGGCATGCCGTCTGACCGCACCCAAAGCTAGACTTTCTATTTTTATTTGCCTTTATCCTTATCCTTAGCTGCGGTGGCTCAAGTGGTTAAGACGCTGAACTGCAGGCTGTGGAAGGTCAGTAGTTCAGCAGTTAGAGACCCGGTTGCCGCATGACAGAGTGAGCTCCCGTCTCTAGTTCCAGCTCCTGCCAACCTAGCAGTTCGAAAGCAAGCAATTGCAAGTAGATAAATAGGTACCACTTTGGTGGGAAGGTAACAGCGTTCCGTGCGCCTCGGTGTTTAGTCATGCCGGCCACATGACCACAGAAACATCTTCGGACAGCGCTGGCTCTTCGGCTTTGAAACGGAGATGAGCACCACAACCCTAGAGTCGGATTCGACTGGCTTTCGAGCAAGGGAACCTTGATCTTTACCTATATCTTTATCCTACCCTTCCTCCAGAACGTCATGCATGGTTTTCCTCCCCGGACTCACTCTATCAACATTTTAGAGGAGAAGTAGAAAACTTGTCCTTTCAAATGCAAACAGCAAAGTGGAGAAGGGAGGAGCTCTGGTTCCATTCATGAAAGAGTGGCAGGGTCAAAGCCCTTTTTCCTTTTTTGCCCCCCCTAGCTCTGAGGCAGATTGAGGCTGCAAGAGCATAATTTGTATTACACAGAGGAACTGAGATGCATCAACAGCTGTGACGTCCTATCAACTCATTACACTGTTCTTCCTAAGAGCTCAGACCACTGGCTTGCAATAACGATAGATATATTCCCTGTTTCTTAGTACCGTAGTTTTTAACAGCAATCATTTCCTGCAGGAGCGCACAGGAGCGGAGCTCTGGCAGTAAAGAGCCCAGGGGGCGGGAACATGCAGCAAGCCCCGCCCCCTGCTCCCAGCAGCCCTCAGTCAGAGCAAGGAGCAGCCAGGTAAATTGCAGAGCTCCCCCCGGCCCCCCGGTCCAAGACAGTCCAGTGGCACCTTTAAGACCCAAGTTTTATTCAGGTACAAGCTCTCCCTCCTCTGCGAGGACAGATCTGCACATTCCCCCCTCCCCAATAGCTAGCAATCCAAAACAGTCCAGTGAAGCCTGAGCAGTGGGTGTTGCCTTCTGACACACTTCCGGTGATGTCAGCGGGTGTGGCATATGCAAATAAGTTATGCTAATGGGTTATGCTAATGAGCTCCTGCACCTCTTTTTCTACAAAATGACCCCTGGACTTTTTAACATTTAATTACAATGTAGAAATGGTTGGTTTTATATTCCATCCTTCACTACCTGAAGGAGTCTCAGAGCGGATTACAATCTCCTTTCCCTTCCCTTCCCCACAACAGACACCCTGTGAGGTAGGTGGGTAATGTTCCCTCTAAGCCGTGGAGTCTTGTGAGCAAAAATTCTACTTTGTGAGCTACTGACATTGAAGTTGTGAGCCAGTGATTTGGCTACTGCAGAAATTAGTTTGCTCTGGAGCCATCCTTCCTGAGCTGAGACAAAAATGTGTGAGCCGGAGGCTAAAGAACTGTGAGCTAGCTCACACTAACTCAGCTTAGAGGGAACACTGTAGGTGGGGCTGAGAGAGCTCTTTGGAGAACTGCTCATGAGAGAACTTGTGACTGACCCAAGGTCACCCCAGCAGCTGCATGTGGAGGGGCGGAGAATGAAACCCGGTTCTCCCAGATTAGAGCCCACGCTCCTAACCACTACACCAAGCTGGCTCTCAATGTATTCTGACTCCTTTCATTAGAACAATAAAAAGACTTGGAGCTTGGGACCCCTTCTCTATCCACTGCAATAGGCAGAAGAGGAGCAGAAAGGTCAATGGAATCAAAAAAACCTCGCTCAGTCTTGGAATGCTTTGGCTCTCTCTCTGGGTGAAGCAAGAGTTGGCTGCTCAAATCATTTACAGCCAAGGAGCAAAGAACATCCTTAAGACCGCAGAAGAGGTTTTAAGTTGCTCTCCGGTGCCCTTTAGCAATTATTTTTTGAAATAAGTTCCAGTCGACCACTGTCGTAGAATCATAGAGTTGGAAGGGGGCCCTACAGACCCTCTAGCGGCCAACCCCCTGCCCAATGCAGGACCAGCCTAAAGCATCTCTGACAAATATTCGTCCAGCCTCTTCTTGAAAGCTGTCAGTGAAGGGGAGCTCACCACCTCCCGAGGCAGCTGATTCCACCTTTGGACCACCCTGTCCGTGAAGAAGTTTTCCCTAGTAGCCAGCCGATACCTTTCTGCATGTAAATTAAACCCGTTGCTTCGGGTCCTCTCCTCTACTGCCAACCGGAACAGCTCCTTGCCCTCCTCCAAATGGCAGCCTTTCAAGTATTTAAAGAGAGCAATCATGTCCCCCCTCGATCTCCTCTTCTCCAGACTAAACATTCCCAGGGCCCTCAGCCTTTCCTCATAGGGCTCAGTCTCCAGACCCCTGATCACCCTTGTCGCTCTCTTCTGCACCCTCTCGATTTTATCCATGTCCTTTTTGAAGCAAGGCCTCCAGAACTGCACACAGGACTCCGGGTGCGGCCTGACCAAGGCAGTATACAGAGGGGCGATGACCTCCTGCGATTTCGATGCCATGGCCCTTTTAATACAACCCCCAAGACTGAATTTGCCTGACACCGAAGAATGGGTGGAAGGCGCTCCCCCTTATCCTTTTAAAGACACCGCAGGAAGGAAAACAGTATTTTGCATCCCCCCCCCTTTTGAAATTTGCCCCCAGGCTCTGGATGATAAAAACACACTTCAGCAAGGACGCTGACCAATGCTCCCTCTAAGCTGTGGAGTCATGTGAGCAAAAATTCTACTTTGTGAGTTACTGGCATTAAAGTGGTGAGCAGGTGGATATTAGCCATCAGTGGTTATTAGCCACAAGGTATAGATAGGAACTCTGGGGCAAGTGATGTTCTGTGTTCTTGGTGCTTGGGGGGGGGCAACAGTGGGAGGGCTTCTAGTGTCCTGGCCCCACTGGTGGACCTCCTGCTGGCACCTGGTATTTTTGGCCACTGTGTGACCCAGAGTGTTGGACTGGACGGGCCGTTGGCCTAATCCAACATTGGCTTCTCTTATGTTCCTAGGCAATTTGGCTACTACATAAATTAGTTTGCTCTGGAGCCAGCCTTCCTGAGCAAAGACAAAAATCCAGTCCAGTCAAATCACCTTTATTGGCATGTAGCACTCGCAAACTCATATACAACCATAACAACGACATAAAGTAATGCTTACCAAAAAAAAAACCCCAAAGATTTAAAAGGAATTGCCATATAAATATGCCAGCGGTAGAAAACCGATCAATTAAATAAAGGGCAAATTGAAGTAGCACCAGAAAGATATTTTGCAAAGACAAAAATCTGTGAGCCGGAGGCTAAAAAAACTGAGCTGGCTCACACGAACTCAGCTTAGAGGGAACACGGACCCTAACCCTAAGAGTGATTAACACTTGGAATTCACTGCCACAGGAAGTGGTGGCGGCTACAAGCATGGACGGCTTCAAAAGGGAATTAGATAAGCATATGGAGCAGAGGTCCATCAGTGGCTATTAGTCACAAGGTATAGATAGGGACTCTGGGGCAAGTGATGCTCTGTCTTCTTGGTGCTTGGGGGGGGGGGCAACAGTGGGAGGGCTTCTAGTGTCCTGGCCCCACTGGTGGACCTCCTGATGGCCCCTGGTATTTTTGGCCACTGGATGGGCCTTTGGCCTGATCCAACATTGGCGTCTCTTATGTTCTTATGTTCTTATGTTAACCCGAGCCTGCCGATCGGGGCTCGTCTGCACACACGCTCTCAACGGATGGCTTTTCGGTGGGTCCTGGTGGGTCTCCTAAACTGACGTCCTGTCCTTCCCTGCCACATGAAACTCAATCTCCCCGACAGATGACACCAGAGGCTATTTTGGACATGGGAGGCAGCAGGCATGCCAGCTATCCAAGTTGACTGGAGGAGGGCCGTCCAAGGGAGGGGCCGGTCACAGGGTAAACCCCGGGAGCTGTAGTTGCTCTGGGGGACTGGGGGGAGCACCTTCAGCACGTCCCCAGCCTCACTGGGGTTTCTGTTTTATTTCTCACTCTTTGGGGGGGGGGGACCAAAAAAACCATTTTGGTCTCCCCATGTCCCTTTCAGCCCTGCGTGTCAGCTCGCTCAAGATCCGCTTTCCTTCACGTCAATGACCCTGGCCTTTTCCATCCCAGTATAACAAGACTCCAGGTAAGAGCCCACATTTCACAACTCGCTCGGTGGCAAAACATCTACCGATCGTGCTATTTTTAACGCGGCTTTGAAATGCTGTCGGTAGTTTTGTATGTATATCATTTTTTAAAAAATCCAACAACTAATTTCCATAATATCGTGGGATAGTGTCGAATCTATGGACGTTTATGAAATGGTGTCTGTTAATATTGTTTACGAGTAGGTTTATTCGTTTTTATTGCAGACACGTTGGGTCTAAATTGTCTTGTAATTCCATGTCATGTGTTTTATAGTCGCTGTTCGTACGCTTGGCTTAAGACCTCTGGTCAGTGAAGCTAATAAATGAAAAGAAAGATCCCACGTTTCGTCTCTGGGGAAAGCGGAAAAACTTTTCGGTGCTGAGCAGAGTTCCCCCTAAGCTGAGTTAATGTGAGCCAGCTCACAGTTTTTTAGCCTCTGGCTCACACATTGTTGTGTCTGCTCAGGAAGGAGGGCTCCAGAGCGAACTAACTTATGCAGTAGCCAAATCCCTCGCTCACAGCGTTAATGCCAGTAGCTCACAAAGTAGAATTTTTGCTCACAAGACTCCACAGCTTAGAGGGAGCATTGGTGCTGAGTTAAGAGAGGGGTCTTACACGCACCAACATCTGTGTCGCTTGCAGATATTTGTAGGGTTGGGCTTAACGATCTGAAGGTCGAGAAACTGGAAACCTCCCTTAGAGCTCTGCTTGGCCTGGAAAACTCTGCGGCTGTTTTTTTTGGAGGGGGAGGAGGGTGCCACGGATGAAGCAGGAATTGGGCACTTAATTTATACTTCCTTATAGAATTTAATTAATTTATATTTCCTTGAGCCATGGCCACCCGTGCTGGTCTGCAGTAGAAGACCTACTTTCGAGTCCAGTAACACTTTAGAGGCCAACAATATTTTGGGGGTAGAACAAAGTTTGAGCCCACTCCAACTTTGCTGTGCTGCTTCAGACCAACAGGGCAAACCCCCCCCCCCAATCTTGTTGGTCTCTGAGCTGCCTCTGGACCAGTGTTCCTTCTAAGCTGAGTTAGTGTGAGCCAGCTCACAGCTTTTTAGCCTCCGGCTCACACATTTTTGTCTCCGCTCAGGAAGGAGGGCCCCAGAGCAAGCTGGTTTACGCAGTAGTAGCCCAGTCGCTCGCTCACGACTTTAATGCCAGGAGCTCACAAAGTGGGATTTTTGCTCACAGGACTCCACAGCTTAGCGGGAGCATTGGGTGGTCTGGACGAATCCAGCTCTTCAGCAAAGCAGTTGCCAGCGTGCGACAAGACAGAGCTGGAATTCTCTACCCTCCCCCCCCCCTTCAGCCGGATGGTAGTGTGTGGAAGAAACAGATTTGGTTCCCCCCCCCCATTTTGGTTCCATCCTCAATATATAAAAGAAAACTGGTTATTTTCTACTTCCTCCTCTCCCGCCAGTATGAATCC